TGTCAGTGCTTATGGGGCTGATTGCAATTTCAACGCCATATATTCTACGAGCTTTCGCCTTTGGACCACTGAACAGACGGAGAGCGAAATGTGAAATGACTGATTTCGTCATTAGTGTTTTAAGATATATAACTGCGCTCGAGACTTGTATGCGTACATACATCAATTTTAAGGGAGTATAAGGTCTTAGTGTGTATTTTCTCTACCACTTTGTCATGGTGTGCAAATGGTAAAAGCTCGTATGGAGAAGGGGTCCCGCGGATTTAGCAAGGCGTCATTATGTTTATTGTTGATAGGCGACGGGGTACTTAAGGTACATCTGTCAGATAACTGATAATCAATTGACCCAGCCGCGTTTGTTTATGTGGTGAGAAGGGGTTATGAAGGGACATAGGGGGACAAAGAACTGTGCGGGTAAATGATACATCCCGGTTGCCTAAGCCGAGAAGGGGGGTTTGGTTGGAGTACCCGACCTTGAGCCTTTGATTCAGAAGTCCAACACACAAGGTAGTAAGAGGAAGTAGGGTCTTGTTTTAGAACCCTTCAACTAGCCTCCGACTTAACCGCTGACCCGCGAGACAGCGGACAATAGGATTTTCTCTGAGAACTCTTCTGGGAGCTAATGACTCAAAAGTCTGACTTGCTCAGCTCCAGGGGGCTGGTCTATCCCGAAAGTGCAGGAAGTAAGGCGTTACTGTTTCACTCCTGATGCGGCTGCGTACAACAGGTACCTTTTGAGCAGCACCGGACTTTGGTTTTAAAACCATTTCGATTGAATAATGCACTGGCGGCCCTGTTTTCAGTGGCGGGTTAGGACTGGGATGTACCATAAGATAGGCAAGTAATGATCTGGAGATGGAGCGTGAAAAAGATGACCAGGGATCTTGTCTACACTGACGCATATCGTTTACGCGGTTGGAGTATCAAAGGCCCACCTTATCAGTGGTTTCAGGTACTCACTGACATCGAGATATCACGCAGCCGGTGGCATTGTCGTTCCCAATGCTCAGCCCATTGTCCTCTTTGTTTCCTATTTATTTTACTTTATCTGACATTACCAGCTGCCATGAGCTACGAAGACCATACATAAGTACACCCTTCATGGCTGTCAAACTGAAAGTTGGACAAAGTTAATGGTTCATGAAGCCTTGAATTCTTGTCTCAGCACCAGATGGCTCGTCGCTGAAAACGGCTGATGGCGTGCGCCAGAGTTCTTTTTTCGGACCAAAGCACACTGTCTGGAGGCCACCCGCTCCTAACCAAACATCACGTCAATTGGACGAAAGTGTCACGTGCGGGCTACGGACTAAACGAAGGAATGCCCTGATTGGTCGGAATGTCAGCTAATCTGGACCGAATATCTATAGCTTCACGCTTCTCGCCCCTTCACAAACACTCTGGTGCGACCTTGTGGAACATTCTGTGATCACCCTATAAATACGGTTGTAATAATCTTCCTTTGTTTCCATAATGGGCTGCCTGAAACTACGGTGCCTTTTGAAACACCATAGAGGGCGGAGCAGGAAGCCAAGAACCGATACAGAGTTGAACCACCGTTCAGCAAGTCACAACACACCGAGAGGATTTTGATCAGCCAGAACACCCTCACTTTGTCTTGAATGATGCTGCCATCTGTGTGATGAGCCAAGGCATGGATCAGCACTTTCACTGCAGGTGCGGAGTAAGTTGGCTAACATTTGCATTATGGAGCATAATTGGATCATCTTATGTGAATAGATGGCTTTTGACTGTCGCTTCTGGGTCTCTGCGTGCTGTCATTGATGTTGACTCATTAATCACAGGACAGTTGCAATAATTTAAATTAAACAATGATACCATCCCTACTGTACTAGTGCGCTCCCGCTTTGGGAAGTTACCAGCGTCGTTTTGGTCTTTCTAAGTCCCTCCTTTGATGGCGCAACCGGCTTTTTTCATTTCTTCTCATTCCCACAACTATTTCCCATTACCGAATACGTGTGTTGTTTCTGACCTACCTGACATACTGTCTGTTTTCGAGTGGGCACAAGCAACGTGGCTATATTTCAGCTCTGGTGCCTCCTCCAGCTTGCTTATCGCAGATGACTGCCAAGGTTCTAGGATGGCGTGGATTAAGTCCGAGATTGGTTTCGAATAAACTTAATTGGCTCGATTTCAGTGGGAATTTAAGTCACCCCTTGGTCTTCCACTGATTTCCGTTTGCACTTCAGCATGTGCCATCTCTCCATTGGATTTCACGCCGGTGACCCTTATGCTACGTTACGCCCCGAAGACATTTCTGAATCGAATGTCATGGACCTCGTGTTGAGGATCTCAGTTCCCCTATTTTGTGTGATCTGGTTCACTAGCTTGTCGCGATGAACGAGGGTTCTAGGCCGTGTCAGGCCGCGGGGTCTGTGTTAGAACGCATGGGCACCCTAACTTCAGGATGTTCTACATCCAGCATGCGCGATTCTAGTTCTGGAGATGCCTCATCCGAGCCGATCATGCTGCCATCCATCGTGGGGGATTTCGACTCGGGCTACAACCGACTGGGGAACTTTGAAGTCCGTTCAAATGCACACGTTCTTCGAGATCCCGCCGAACCATCAACGGTTTCTAGTGGTGCATGCCGGGGGAGGGATATAACTGGTTTTGCCGCGTCGGATCGGCGATCAGATCACCATGGGACTGGAAATCACATACCAGAATCTAATAGCACTTTGAACAGCAGACAACTGCGCCTGGGTCATTCGTTCTTCAAACGCACTTTGCACAAACCTGCTTGTTGCCACCACTGTGGCGAAGTCATCTGGGGTCTGATTAGTACTGGATTTCAATGTGAATGTAAGTTAATCAAATTTGATTCGTTTCGCTTTGGACGGAGAAATTTTAAGCATGCGGTACAAATTCTTCCTCCGGTGAACCGAGGTTTGCAAATTGCCGCTAGCGTTATCAATAGTCTTATCTTAGTTTACCGACAACTTTAGTTTTCTGTTGTACTGACATGTGACATGAGTTATTTCAACCGTTTACAGGGTTCAAGATAGCTTAGTGATTGAGGCGCAAACTTACTGTTAGAAAGGTCCGTGGTTCGAACCTAACCTCTGTATTTTGATTGCTCCTGTTGTGCTTGGGTGATCTGACAGTCTCTTATCTCTCGTGCTTTCTTCGGTTGGCATGGCATCTAGGCACCGAAAGGGAATTACAGCTGGACGGTTTTTAACTGTTGATGCGGCTTCATAGTGGTCACTGCATAAGAGTTGATCTTTCCGCAAACATGCATGACTTTGTGCCGGGAGCTTGCTAATAGGGCGGCATGCAAGTAAGACAGGTCCCTCGATAGTTTTGACAAAAGAGTCCCTATTCGATTGGCTTCCAATAATTGCCGGAAAGTACCTTGTCGGTTTGGATTATGTGACCGACCAGACTCACCGAAATGCGTGCAGATTTCGGGTAGTGACCAAAATCACTCACTGTAGAAGGTCGTTTGTGCCAACAAGTGTTAATATCATACCTCTAGATTATCTGATTGAAAGCGATAGAAACGTAGCGGATCATGTCTTAAGTTGTGGTTATTGCGGAGGTGATCTAGACGTAACAGTGTTGTGACCATCTAGGAGCAGTATCGATTGGTGCATGAAAACTGAAGTCGTCCGGAGTGAGAGGTTTACCCGAAACCATGAATCTTGAAGTACATGCTTGTACTCCAGTCAGCTAATATCTTCGTCAAATGTGCAATGGGATGTAGCCTTAAAAGCCAAACCTCGAAGAAAGAGACACTATCTGTCTAGATTCTAATAAGCACTCAGATATCGGTGTTGGGATTCTAGCCCAACCAGCAATTATTAGAGGTGATTACTTATATACGAAGGTCACCCTAGTCCTCTCATTGAATCGATGTGTCAGTGGTACAATCTAAACGAGTACGATCAATGACCATACGCCACTTGAGAACGAGCGCACAAATCTCCAGCTATCCAACCACCTCTAGCGCAGAGAGAAGGAGATCGAACTTTCGGAAGAGAGCTTCCACTGCCTCAACCAAAGGCGGAGTACAGCCGGAACATCATCGAACGACCTGTGGGAACAAGAAATTCGTTAGCATACAAAGTTCAGCTGCCCACTAGAAAAAAAGCGCATTCCTTTTGGGAAAATATGCAACGTGGTGGATATGGCGCGAAAATTTAAAACTCAGATAATGGCAATAACTCAACAAGTAAATGGAGTTTTTGGGGGTATTGATACCCCTAACAGTTAGCAGTCGATTATTCACAGCGTATTGTTACTGCCAGATTTTTATGAACCTCGTGTTTGATATGATGACGAATAGCGTGACTATTTAGCGGAAACAAAAGTGCACCAGACACTGGTAAGAACTGGGTCATATCGTGGTTGTAAGTTGGTTGTTGTTGTTGTCGTTCAAGTGACACCGTAGCATATCTGAGCATCGTGACTCTTGACCTTGAGTCTATTTTCAAAAAGCTATAGTATGCAAAATTGGATTGATCTTGTAGTCAGAAGGAAGGGGATAGAGAGGATCTGTTTCAAAACCCCCTCTTTGAAGCAAGTTGGCTCGATTTTCTTCTGTTTTCCTGTCAACCTCAAAGGCCTGTCAGCCTCTTGCGTTCAGTTAGACCGCGTAATGGACTAATTTGTCTTGGCGCGCTGTGCCCCATTCCGAAAATAAAATCGACCACATGGTCAGTATATGACCACTTCTTGACGCTTTCTTGAGAATCATCTAAGACAGTCTTGCGTTGCTTGCTCACCAGAGGTCATGCGAGTTGACATCACCATCACAGTGTTTCAACAAGATGCGCGATTAAGTGCTTAAGTTAATGAGACATTGCATCAGTTATGTGGAGGTATTTTTGGACCCTGATTGTAGCCTCATGAGCAGACATTGACGTTTGTTAATAAAATGCGTTCAGCAATCCTGGAGGTTTCCGAGTAACACCACAAATGGTGCTTAGTCTCTTTAGTTTCTTTCCGTTGACTTTCCGGTAGAAGGAATTGGATCATTGAAGGGTGGTATTCGGTCATGATCACGCGCAAATTCATTCACTAGAAAAGCGCACACAATTACAACATTTATTAAAACAACTTCCAGTCTCAACACGCCCCCCCCAGTATCAGGGCTGAATGACAGCCTCGGTAAGCATGTATTTTTTCACTCAGGACATAGGCCGCTAAAAGTATGCCTTAATTGTAATGCCGTGTTTACTTGGGTTTATTGTACTCTCACTCGGCGATTCTTGTCTTGCTTTATTTAGTCTGCAATTTACTTGCTCACGAACGGTGTCACCTTTCCGTGTACTCTTCGTGTACCTCAGTCGCCCCGCTCCACGTAAAAGTAAGTGTTTTTTGCGCGCCTCACAATGACCTTCCTCGCTGCAGTTCTTGGCGAATCAGAACGCCGACGTGTGTGTCACCTGTGGCGTATTTGACTGAAAACCTTATTTGCGTTTGAAATAAGTGAACTTCCACTTTCCCTATCAGCTTGTGCTCAACGGTTGTTTTTGTTACCAGAACGAACTGTTAATTGCCAAAAATTTCGTCTTAACTACGGACTGATCGATTCTGATCAATTCTCACATTTTGCTTATATTTGTCGTCATCACATGTTCAGCCACCAGATTGCATCGTGCTGAGCCCCTATTGATTTATCATCGTTCCACTCTCACATGTGACTCCATTGGTCGTTGCATTTCGTTAGTTGTCTACCCGATCATGCATAACTGTTGTTTCCTATTGGTTATTCGGTGAAGAGCAAGTCCCAGCCAATTCCTGCCATTTTCCGATGTATATAACCGCATTATTTAGCGACAAAAAAAGACCTGTTCCTGTGCTCGACTTTGGCTTCTTCCTTACGCGAGTTGACGGGTTACCTCCGGACGACACAACAACCTTGGCGACGGATTGTGTGGACAAAATGGCAATTTCATTCGAACAAATGCAGCAACTCCTCCAAATCCAACAGAAACAATTTGAAGAATCCCAGAAACAGCTGATTGAAATGCTTTCAAAAAAATTGAACCTCAAGTCCGAAACCGCTGTGGACAAGAATCAGCCATCAGTTGATGCCATTGCTGCTTCCATATCCGAATTCGCTTTCGATGGTTTATCAGGAGTGACATTTGAATCGTGGTTCCAGAAGTATGAAGACATCTTCCGAGTAGAGTTGGCAAATCAAGATGATTCTTGGAAAGTTCGTCTCCTGCTGAGAAAACTCGATGCAGTGGAACACGAACGATACTCGAATTTTGTGCTGCCGAAAAACCCACGTGAATTTTCGTTCGATGAAACTGTCCGGACCCTGACCCAAATTTTCGGAGAACAGGCATCTCTATTCAGCATCCGATATAATTGCCTGAAGCTCACAAAGTGTGACTCCCATGATTTCGTCACACATGCCGGGATAGTAAACAAGGAGTGTGAGCGTTTCAAGTTGGCTACCATGACACCAGACCAACTGAAAAGTCTCGTGTTCGTCTGCAGCCTACAATCGCATTCAGACGCAGACATCCGAACACATATGCACTTTTAGGGATGAAAAGCCGTTCCATGTAGCGACATGTAGACGTTTTTCTGTGTCAACGTCGGGTTGGGCTCATCATCATCAAAAACAGCAACATCAGTGTTGGAACTGATGCTTCACTGGCGGGCAGTCATAAGGTTCGTGAGTACGTTGTGCAGTATTGGAAGTGTAAACGCTCCTTTATGAAACGTTCCTCCTGAGAGGGAGGACAGAGTTGGCCTCTCCTATGGGTCACGTAGTAGGTAGTGTTTAAAGAGAAACGCAATCAGAGGCTCTTCAAATCAGCAGCAACTTTTTCAGAAGGATCTCTTCAGGTTGACCGTTGTAGTGGTTTTTGTTCGGGTGCTTCTCGTTGCTACCGCTTCAGAAGTTGTTGGTGTAGTTGCCCCTGGAGACGTCTAACATCCTCTGAAAACCAACCTGCCTGTGTGCTTTACATGTCCAAGAAATCGTCCCGGTTTCGGTTGGGTCACTTCGTTTATTGTTTAATAATTTCACTGTTCAGTGTTATGCAAAGACCATGGGCTGCACAAAAAATCTCTACCAAGTAACAACTATTCACAGTTGGAGCATGGTGATTACTGAAATTAGGTGCGGTTGAAAAACAGCGGCTAGATGGCAGTGTCTCATGCAGACAGCTGTGTTTACTTACCATAGTATTCGTGGCACAATCCCGCTCTTTTTTCCACACATTCTGTTTTTTTGTTATTGCTCGTTAGGTCAGTTGGCGTCGTTAAGGTCCTCCAGGTTGTACTGATAGGATTGTTTCCCATAGATTGTACACCTGCGCCAATAACTTGATGTGTTATGTTTGTTTCTGCCGGAGAAGGAATGAATATTACATGGCTCCAATGCAACCAAACTGTCCAACCCAACAAAGATAATTGGCGTTTATTTACATATATCCCGTTTTCATCAAGACCGTTGTTGTACGCATTGTTGATTGATGTGTGTAAGTGGTTATTCTACCAATCTTATCAGCAGAATCGCGTATTCAGGTTGGCATGTTCGACTGACAGCTGAGTCGTCCCACCTGTCAGATGGTGTTTGATTTGTTAGGAGGAACAGAACCAATTAGCGAATATACACTCATTTGCAAACTAATTTGGTTTTTCGAGAGACTCAGCTGGAACCCAGCTGAATCTCTCGTTTGTGATGTTCTCAGGCATGGAGGGAATTATCATTAGGTTAAGTCATATTCAATAGCCTGAGAACATCACAAACGAGAGATGCAGCTGGGGTCCAGCTGAGTCTCTCCAAAAACCAAATTAGTTTGCAAATGAGTGTATATTCGCTAATTGGTTCTGTTCCTCCTAACAAATCAAACACCATCTGACAGGTGGGACGACTCAGCTGTCAGTCGAACATGCCAACCTGAATACGCGATTCTTGGCTGTCGAGGATTTTCAGCTACATTATGAGTAGTACATTACAAAGATAAAACAGAACCAATGTTTCGGAACTTCCCATGTTGTCTATGTTACTTCCGATTTCAGTTCCACACGTCCCATTGTTGGTCCGATCCGGTTCATTTCAAACGGAAGTTTTGCAACGTGTGCCGGAAGCGACTTGAAGATACCATGTCCGTACGATGTGAAGGTGGGCACTGCTCTGTTAGAATGAATACTGTCTAGGTTTCTTTTTTTCACATCTTGTCGGTCGTAACGTAAACAGTGTTTTTCAATAGAGTGGGATGCTCTGCCTTCAGCTGTTTGTGATGACTAGTTTTCGAAGGTCCTACCACTTTTCTCTGCTTTTCGTTATTTTGTTTCCCTTTGGAATTGCAATGTGTCTTTGGAGGTTCTCAGACAATTACATCACCGTTTATCGACAGTTCAATCGAGACAACACGATGACCTGAGCACAAGCCATTCCCCACTGTTACAGCTATCTTCTCCCACGCGATAGCAACCATCACGCTCCTCCGAGTACTATTAACAGGCTTTTTAAATTCTCTTTCACACGCATTGTTTTTGTTGCCAAAATGACGTTATTGATCAGCGTGTGCAAATGGTTGAGTGGCTTTCACAGCACAAGCCCGAGTTATGCTTTGATTGTTCGCAAATCGATATCCGTAATTTCAGTTATTCTAAAGGTATTCACCCCAATGTAGTGAAGGTATTATCCTATATTGTACCCTACAAGACTTCTTGGCTTTATTGTGATTCAGAAAGTGGTCGCAGGAAATGAGATACGTAACCTTCTGGTTAACATTTTTGAAACTGTTGGCCAATCGGTTCGCATAGCTAGATTTGAACTATGTGTGAACTTTGTGTGAGCCGACCGCTTGCGAGTAGTGTGGACGTTGTATCCGAATCGACTTCACAGAGCGTCTAAAACTGTTGACCAATCGTACACTTGGCTGATCCTATCTGACGAATAGCAATAAGGACGAGACACCATGTATAGCCTATCCACGTGTTCATCCGACTATCTGGCCAAAACCCAGATGAATATTTCTGATTGGTGACCATTCAAATAAAACATACCGATCACTCATTGGTTGTCAGATTCTCTGAAGTTTTGACCACTAGTCTCTTATCATCCTTCTTCGCTTTTCATATACCAAAACCTTATGTCACACAAGAACCCCGGTGAATATTTATGTGGGTTGATCAGAATTGCTCATCATCTGAATTAGTCAATGGTTTTACTGTTGCAAAAGCGTGCTGTGTTCATTCTACCCGAAAGTGGGAAAACTTCAATCGGAGGTCTCCCAACATGTGATATTTCCAATGCTTTAGTCCTTCGGAGCCCAGCATACCGCTCTGTCCGATTGAAACGATATGCTTGCCTCTTGTATAAGTGAGTAGCTAAGGTCACGCAGTCAACGCGACCTTCAGCCAGTGGAACCCTGGGGTCCGTGCTTTGTGCTGTGTTGCATTTCTAGGATTATCGCGTGTAAACAAATGTCTCTTTCGTCGTTGTTGCTCGCAGAATTCCAAAGAATTTGGGGACGGAATCATAGAGACTTGAGGAAACAAAGGCACAAAAACGTGATGAAGACTGAAGTCAAGAGTTTTCCGAATCCTCGAGATGGCTCAGCAGTTAAAACGCGACTTTACTGACCGGAAGGTCTGTTGTTGGAACCGCCCCTGCCTAGGCTTGGGCAACCTGATAGTATCTCAGCCCTCGTGCGTCCTTCGGGTGGCATGGCAGCCAGTCACCGAAATGGTGTTACAGCTGGACGATATTTATGCTGGTATTACCCACTATACCCGAATCTTCCTCCAGCTGTTAATGCGAGTGTAATAACAGCAATGTCTGAGCTCAGTTTTCAGTGCGGTCCTCCCAAGCTAGCTTTTCCAGAATCAACAAGGATACATAAATTCTAGTAAAAGTACAAACTAAGTAAAGAAACATCTGCAGCGTGCCGTACCTAAAATGTACGTAACGAAAACATTCTGGAAATTCGGAAGCCTTCTGGATGCGACGTTGGCAACTGGCATCCAACGGATACTGGAACGTGATTGGCTGTTTGTTACAAATCTTAGACCAATCAGACCTCACCTTGGTGCTGGGTAGGCAGCTGGCCCGCTCTTTTGATCGATCACATGCGAGTCAGGCCTATTGGCCATTTCAGCACTCAATTGTTAGTAGTAAGGCGGCTTCGGTGTAGGATTCCGCCTAGCAGCTTGAAGTTTGACGGAGCTTCGAAGTCAGGGGTTCACTTGCGGTGCAAGCACGGATCATCTCTCTCTCCATTTGTTGACGACATATTTGCGAGCAAATTACCAAGCTCGGCGAACAGTTCAGTGGCTATCTAACCAGACCAACACTTCCATTTCACTCTCTCATTGTTGTTGTGCCTAACTTTTATTCTCGCTCTTTATCGTACGCACACACTTATTCGTTCTTCCAGTTTGTGAGTACTACTGTCACGTGGACTGCCAGGACTACGCCGTTAACGACTGCAAAAGGGGTGCATCTTTCCAACCTGGAAAGCCGATGGTGTGTTGGATGGGGAGATTACATCCCCTTTGTTCGCATGCGCTTCTGTTGTTGATCGCATGCTGTGTGTGTTGTTTGTGCACACATGCGTCCTCCGAGTTTTGTGTTTGATTTATCGATGTTCTTTGGCGACGGAGATGGGGAGAGCTTGGTATGCACACGTTTATCACCTTCCAGTTGACAAGTGCACTTGGGACATGATCCAATTTTCTTCCACAAACTTCATGTAGTGATCGAATCGTGAACCGTTTGGATTGGGCATGTTAATGCATGTTTTATAGCCTCTGTCATGTGGACGACTCGAAAGTCATGTATGTTTCCGTGCCTATCCTATTTTCAGTTTCCACCACCCCAAACACACCATTGGAGAGAAGGAAACTTGCCACCGAATTCGAAATGCGCTCATTGCCGGAAGACCTGTTGGTCATCTGAATGTCTGACTGGTTATCGTTGTCAGTGGTGCGGCCTGACGGTATGTGCGGTCAAAAAATGAATCGAGTGATTCGATTTACCTTTGGTGTTTTCTATGTCCATTTGACGCGACATTCCCAGCTTCACTGCTTGCTTTACCAAGAGCTACTAAAGCCAAAAGACCTGAGGAGACTTGGCTCTTGATCAGAAGTGCAGTTGAATCATACTGATTTCATAGCTTACCACCAAAGTGATCGTGAACTGTGACGCCAATAATCATTATTAATATATGTATATATATATATATGTATATGCATATCAGTATCACTGATGAATCACTCTACAAATCTATGAAGAAAGAAAATGATGTTCTCAAAGCGAGGATCTGGTGCTAGCTCACCATGGACAGGTTGTGACAGTTCTCACGAACAGTCTCCGGCAACTGAACCCATGTAATCGCTATGACATTTGCGGGTTGTTTAGTTGGTGCACCTTCTGATGGATAAAAACGAGTTAAGCGGTTCATTAGGGTACAACAGAACTATCCTGATGTCTCTCTTGGGTGGCCACTGTCTAGGTTTAAGTAGCCTCGCTGAATGGCAGGTATGCACTGGAGCACATCCATCTCTGTTTGGGCCACATCGGGTTACGGAGTTCCCTATTTAAACTTCCTAGAAAAAAGTCACTCTCCTCTACTGAGCTGCAGAAAACTCTGGTTAAGGCGCGAACGTAATGACCCGAAAGTCTGTGGTGTGAACTCAATCTCAACAATTTGACTTCACCTGTCTAGGATTCGGAAACCTGGCGCTACCTCAGCCCTTGTGCTTCCTTCGGGTAGCCTGGCAGCTATTCGGCAAAAAAGGTCATCATCATCATCATCAATGACAGCAACATCAGTGTTGGCACTGATGCTTCACTGCCGGCAAAAAAGGTACTACGGAGGAACGACTATCGTTTGTTATTAATTACCAAAGGTTTACAGGTTTGTGTGATTATCACAAGCCTTCTAGTCGCAATGTGTCCGCACTGACTGCAGCGATGTGGAAAACCTAGTTGACAAAAAAGCAATAAATTGTTCAGCTGTAGCACACTTTCGGTGCCCAGCTGCCATGCCCTCCGAAGATTGCACGAGGGCTGGGATACTGCTAGGTTTTCCAATCCTAGACAGGAGAAGTCGAGATGCAAAGGTCGGGTTCGAACCACAGACCTTCCGGTCAGTAAATTCGCGCTCTAACCATTGAGTGATCTTACCCTCCTCACGGACTTCATGGACCCAAAAGTCTTTCTATCAGTACGAGGAGATCAGTATGTAGTTGATGAAAGCCTTCTATGACTATTTTCTTCCCGATGTGCATCAGGCCGGTTGTGTACTTCCAGTCTTATTCAACCATCTGATGTTAACAGACTTTTTACTACTAACAATATCACAGATATATTCTTTTAGTTTGTTATCTCCGCTCCGTCAGCTTCTGGCTTTTGATCCCTACATCTACTAATCACGATCGCGAAGCAGTGAAGCATAGTCCTGAACTTTATTCATTTCATAGACTAGGATCGAACTTTGAGGTATTCACATGGCTCTGTAGATGTAATTTCCTCTTTCCCAGGGCATTCACTAGCCAACAGGGTGTAGCAACACAGTTGGTTGTCCAGCTGAAGGATCACATGATCAAACCACAATATTGCAACCGAATTGTTCTACCCGTTTGGTCGGAGTTAGTCTGATCCAGTTGGTGTGCAAACCGGTCCCAAGTCACCCGTTTTTCCCGATTCTATCCGCCTTCATTTGACACTGAAATTTGCAAAGACCATCACCGATGTATCTGTCCTCTGAAATTGCGATCACTTTAGATTCTGTGCACGTGGAAGTTTTCAAATATTTTGTCAAATTGTGAAGGAGGGTGAAGTTCTAATGATCCAACCGATCGATAAAATTATAAATAATGAAAATCGTTCAGGTGCAATGCCTTTTTGGAGCACGAGGGCTGGGCTACTGCCAGGTTGCCCTAGCAGTCTTGATGCCAAGGTTGGGTTTGAATCACAGACCTGCCGGCCACTGAGTGCGAGCCTTAACCACTCAGCTATCCCGATCTCAGTCTGTAAATAACGCCAAACGGAATTCGATGTAGGTAATTCTTACGGATCTAACGACCATTGGTACTTCCAGTTCATGATTGCAGTGTTAACATCCAACGAGTTTTGCCGATGGCATGAACAAATAACAACAGAGTACGGCCAATTGAAGGATGACCAGTAAAAAATCATGCATAGGTGTAAGCTGAATGAACAGACGCATCGCAACGGAATCCGCTTTGTCAAAATTTTTCTGAACCACTTTCTAGCCCACTTTCCAGCCAGATCTCTCTGTGTATGGTCTTTATGGGTTGGTCCAAACCCTAGACTTGCCGGATAAAGTGACGCGAAAGTTGTTGAGGGCTGTCACACAGCCAGAAAACACGCAAATCGACTATGGATTCGAATTCGATGGTTTGGCGTTTTCAGAAGGGGCTTCGATATCCTCACCATTGTTTCTTCCAATCTATTTTGCTTGTAGTCCAATACAGGTGTTGATCCACTCTAAATTGTGGGAGATAAATAAGCTACGTATCAAAAATGTGTCAGTCGAGCTTTTATTAACATCTATTATTATTGCGAAAATTGTTATGAGTTATTCTTTGTGTTATCCACAAGCATTCAGTGTTTGGACAGCCTCAGAATTAGGATTCAAGTGGCTTTACGCTTCATCAAGGCAGCCATGCCTCATACGCACGGTTGTGGTTAAAAAGAAGCAGACGTTGGACTGCCGCCGTTTCTCGGGCATGTTCAAGGCTACCTTACAGATCGGGGCTCCGTGGCCGTCACTCCACGTAGTGTAGGGACTATTGTCTTGATAACCCACCGGAAGGTCCGTGGTTCGAACCCGACTTCTGCCTCTTGACTTTGGCAACCTGGAAGTATCCCAGCCCTCGTGCTTCATTCGGGTAGCATGGCAGCTAGGCACCGGAAGGGTGTTACAGCTGAGATTTTTTTATATATTTCCCTAATAACCCTACTTATAAGGCTGCTGATGACTCCGACACTACCGGTTACGCTGGTCCTGAGGTTCACCTCATAGACGTAGTTCTCAATTTCCCACCACCCTCGTTTACCGCTTCGGATTGACGAATTATACGCAATCGATGAAACATATTCGTCCCCAAATTTAGTTAGTGTTAGCGCTTCTTTCTCTGATGCTGATGATTTCTCGTCCCCTGTTCCTTAAGGTCCATTTTGTCCAACTGCCTGTTCAATGTTTGCTAGAATTCCGAAAATCGGCCCCCTTATAATGGCACTCACGTGTTTGGATTTTCTTTTGTAGGCACATGCATCTTGTGTGCCTCAACTGAGCGACAAATGTGACTTCGGCCCACTGCGTGATATTATGTTACCAGCACAATGCGTCAGTCTTCCACGACCGACTACCCCCATTGAACACATCATTGGCATCACCAAGCGACCTCGATGTGAGTTGTTGCAATTTCTCCTCGGTTGTCTTTCCTATTTTTTCCGCCTAAATTTTGAGGATAATTAAGGCATCCATGTCGGCATCGATGCTTACGAATCTAGCTATCACATGACCACCGCAAGGGCATTTTCGCCTGATCGTATCTGATCCTTGTATTTTTCCATACCGAAAACACGGGAGCGTGCTTTGGGAAGCTTTACTTGAGATGATGGTGCATTCCTTGCAGGTATTTATACAGTGAATAGGTGATTCTTTAGTAATATACACTCGCTGATGGAGCGGGATGACTCAGTAGTGAGAACACGAATTTACTGACTGGAAGGTCCGTGGTTTGAACCGAACCACTACCTCTCGACTCCCTTTGTCTAGACTCGGGCAATCTAGCCGTATCCCAGCCCTCGTGCTTCTTTTAGGTGGCATGACAGCTAGGCACCGAAAGGGCGTTACAGCTGAACGACTGAACGATTATGGTTATTTTTTTACACTAGTTTGTGGACTTGTGGCACCTTAGTCGTGTGTCCTGTGTCCGTGGTACGAATGTCAAAGGTTACTGGATAGAACGCCCGTGACTGCACAAACAGAAAAAAGACAAGCTTATTATTCGTTGAGAGCAAGCACCGGGGTATTTAGCAGATTACGGACGTCCTCCTGCTATGCATCCATCTCAAGTGAACCGAAAGTGAACTGTCAAAGTAACGTTTTTCCCTGGGTTTTACCCAAGACAAAATAGAGTAACAGGCCAAACACAAATTCTCCGCTCGCTTTTCAGCCGACGTAGCGAGTAGGGATTCCTTTGGCGTGTTCACCGTACATAGCTGTCACTTGACCCTTAGGAATCACGAAGTACGACACACTGCTAGGTTTCCTGTATCCAGCTGGGATACGATGAGATGCTGAGAACTCTACGACGGGTCCCGCTAGAAGAAAAACCCTCTAATGATTTCCTTTTGTAGTTTAGAACTCACTGGAACCCATTCCAACCCATTCAACCCATTCTGGGTTGAATTAGCAATATTTTCCGTCGGATGGCAACCAGTTTCTCCAATACACAAACTACAAACAACGAATCACCTCAAGCCTTTTGTGTGATCAACTGCATGTGTGATAAAGTTTATGTTTAAATGGCAGGCCTTGGATAATGGTCCGTCGTTAAGCGTCTCGTCACTATTTTCAGTGATGCATTTTTCGCCGTATTAGTGAAGTGTGTAGTAATCACAATCAAGTCACAGCTTGAAGTTTTCCTTCACATTCATACTCTGATGGGGCGATGTTCAAAAAACCAAGCATCAATGTCGTCCTTGTGTGGATTTAGCAGCTTGTAACTGAAATTCTTTGTTGCGATGACACATTCCTGGAAATAGGTTTCAAGTTACATTATCAGTCCACCAGGAGATGGTTTGAAACTGGGCACTGCGACGTTTTGGAACTCCTCAAAGGTCTTAGAGTGATTTAGGATGTTTGCATTGCCATAGTGATTTTTCCGTAGTTTTACTGAAATGTCATCGGCCACGATGATATGGGTGTTGGTATTCGTGATTCCGACGTCAAAGAACCTTCAAACCAAGGTGATTCTAAGCACAACGTTCTCTACCCCCAAGAAGAGACCTCGTATGGACAGTTTTCTCTTAGGAGAGGAAGAACTTTTTCGTTTCAAATGGCTTCTTCGCAACTGATGCTGGACCGTTTGCTGTCTGGTTACCAAAATGCCTATTCTATGGACATCCCTGGGGGCTGAAAACACCGGTCGACACGTCAACGGAAGCAGTCTTTGCGTCGTAGCCCTGCAAGGATGAATCCGTTGTGCATATTTCGTTGGGGGTCGTAAGTACAATTTGTGCCTAGCGACGTTAACTTGGCTGCCCATGCCTTAGCTGTCATTTCTGTGTCGATATGCCGGACAATGTTGGTGCACTTGGTGGACAAGAGATCAGTGTAACCCAAAATGACCGTGATTACAGTGAATGTATCCAATTTTTTTTGAAATGCAACATACCACCCATCATCTGCTGCTGCTGCAAAACGCTCGTACTTGCCGTACATTGGTTATAGCCGCCACAATTTTGTTGGTCGACGATTTGGGGTAGGTAGCTACACGTTAGAGGCAGTAGCTCATACAATCGATGCATGAGTACAGGGTTGTCGGTAGACTTTTCATTGAAGAGATTGACAGGAGACAAGCAAAGGTAAAACTGTACGAAAATGACAGATTTTCTAGACGGGGCATTGGTCGACGATGACATCATTTCAACGGACTCTCAGGGAACTCTCTGATCCGTGGGGAAGTCAAACTGAGTGCGCTTAGTGTGGTGACACAGAGAGTACAGTGTCACGTGACGGTTGAGTAGTCGTTAAGAGGAGTAGGCTGTTTGTTTTGTGTTGGTGGGCGAGATAGCGTAAACAGTTGCGGATGTGGTCACGGTATGATTTGTGGACAACTAATCAACCCGTAAGAGCTAGTTGGTTGTGGTATCGTTCATCTGGCTGATGCGTCCAGTCTGTTTGTGCGAATCGATATAAAAATCTGTACAACTTGTACAAGACATGCGAAATTGTTGGGTGAGGGTACCGTGAATCTGACCCACTTAAAGAGTGCCCAGGACGAAGAGGCCCTCATCATGGACTAAATATTGGATCACTCATAGATTTCAGAATGTGCCCATGGGAATTGAAGGCATTGGGTGGTGGAGGGGATCTTTCCTTCGAAAAGAGTACTATTTTATTATTCTGATGATTCTGCTATCTCCCGGATGGCACTTGAAAGCGTCTGCCTAATGCATTGCTACCGGCTTGTTCTCTGACGGTTTTCGTGAAACCGTACAACGTTAACGGTGTTGGCGATGGAATAGAATTTGTGACTTTAATGAGATTCAGTGAGATTGTTGTTCGTGTTTTTACTGTTTTTTTTTCACACGCGCTCAGGTATTCGATTGTCCTATACGGATCAAGTATGCACAGTCTCTGTCTAGCAGTACCGCTTATCAGCTTCGTTCGGCCCAACATAAATCACGATAATTTGTCGCTCTCAATTCTCACCTACGCCTTATCTATCTAGCTCGGACGCTATCTGAGGAATGGTCCAGCAGTGGAGATAGCAAGGAAGATAGTTGGCAAGACCACCGATCACCGAGGGAGACGGTCGATTTAGCAAGCAGCGATGGTGAGTGGAATACCATTTCTATCGGTTGCAACAATTCCTTTTCAGGTAATCATGATTTCCCATGTGCAGCACCAGGTTAGAATAGTGTTCTAAAGTGCAGTCAGATGAATTAGGTTTGGGTCACTCTACTCACTCAGGTGGAATTATGGATGGAGAGAAGGTTGTTCAAACAGCGAAATGTTAGCCCTTTTTATCCCCCCTGACACCTATGTAAAATACATTTGTAGTTTAAACGCACAACAACACGTCAAAACGCTGAAAGAGGATTGTCATCCATGTTGTATCAGCCCGATCAACACTGCGTTGCGAGCACTCAAGATTCCTACTGGATGACGGACGTGTCAACGGGATGACCTGTGATCAGCAGATGTCTTGCACTCGGCGTTAATAGGTTCCGCGTAGCCGACCAGCAGACAGCCGAGACTCAGTTATCTTCTCAGAGACTCGCACAGCCATACAAATTTCTGATTTCGTGAAATATTCGCAGACTGAAGAATAGGGCGATGATGAAGAGTCCACACTGTACACAGTTATGTTGATCAGGTAATCTTCCTGTTACCTGAAAGCATACGTACCATACTCTTCCCTTCGAGAAACTACCCTTTGAAAGGTCTCTTCATTGGGGTTGTTTCTTTATGGGGGAGTGTGATCAATAAAAGCCGTCTCCCATACTCCCACACAATGGTAGTGAAATCACTTTTGTGTTCGGTCGTTTCTTCACAGCTTTGCCGAGGATTGGTTGCAATTTTTCATTCTGTTCGATGTTCAGTGTATTGTTTAGGGTGCAGTGTGGAAAATGAACCGCCCATCTTGTCGTCTTTGGTTTTCTCATCTCGTTCAGTTGTAAAACTAGTTCGGTACATACCATACCATACCACCCGAAGGAAACATGGAGGCTGATATACTGCCAGGTTTTCAAATTCCAAGCAGAGCCAGTCTAGATACAGTGTTTGGGTTCGAACCATACCTTACGGTTGGTAATTGTGCTCCTTGACCATTGAGCTATTTCGAGCTCTGGTTTGGTCATCTAGCTGAACTTGATTAAGAACTACCAAACGCAAGTTCTCATGAGGATGTATCCGCATGCAGCAACGAAAATAATGGTGGTTATCAGTTAATCGGATAGACGGTCCTAAAATCCCACACCCCGAATACCCAACTTCGATCGCCGACGTATTATCCAGTATGGGCGACACACTCGAAAGGCACCTGATGTGCCTAGTTGCGTTGAGTCAGTTTTCCGTGCCTCACTCCCTGAGTCCTCAGGGTAGGTCAACCCCTACTGCCTTGTGTGTCAGACCTCGAAGTCACACGCTCGGGTTAGAGTACCTGAAATAACCCCCGTATTTCTAAGCTCAACAGTAAGAACAGTTCACCCCCCCCCTCCGCACATGACGTGCACTGTAAAGAGAATGACATTATAAACGAGAGACTCGACCGTGTTCCAGGTGAGTCTCCCGTCAAAACCAATCTGGTATGCAGATGACTGTATAATGGCGAGAGCCCGTTTTCTCTAACTTGAAACCCGAAGCTTGAGGACTATCCTGGATAAAGATTGAGGCGATAGCACTGAAAGGTGGAGTGCTGTTGTTTAAAAATAACTCGAAAGCTACGGGATAGACCTTGCTACACTCGTTAAGGTCCGGTCAACCGATCAAAAAACTTACAAAGGGCTGGCTCTGCTTGTACATTTCACTGGAGTGAACAACACAAGAAAGCCGACGTAAACACGGTGTGAGTTGCAAATCGCGCGAATCAGACAATAATGGTTTAGCCAAACTGCATCAACTCGAGAATGATGGTCATCCAGTTTTGGCTGTTGAGGCAAGATTTTCCACAGTTATCAACTCCTGTTCCCGCACGATTTCGCATTCAGATCATCGTACCTGATCAGACATGCAATTCCAAGTTACCACCCCGCCTATTGAATGGTTTCGATGTTGGTGAACCTGGAAGGGGAGACTGGATCTGGTGAGTCTTCCGGCTGAGAAGCCGTCACTCAAGCAGCCACGTGACCACGTGACGTTAATGCCATGACTGAAGGATTAGTGGCTCCATTCCCTGTCTAAGTGCTGGTCATCCGCTCGTGGCCCGACGGTTTCGGCTTCAAATACTATTTGAGAGGTTTCGGGTTTGAGTTACTCGCCTATGCAGATGTGACCAAGTCTGAGTGCGGCATCTTGGGGGCATAGGCGCTGCTAAATGTGGCCATCCTTGTTTTCGAAAACCGGAATCTGATAGCCACAGTTCCCAAATTTATTAATTTTGATTCGGACCGGCCTTCTTATGTTGTTCCACACCGGTAGAAAATATCATCAGAGCCAATCTCTAGTGGTTTCCAATGACCAGCCAGCTGGGCTCCACTAACCTCATTGAAGTCTATTCCATAGAGTACGAATGCTTTTGCGTTAAGGGCAGTTCGCCTTTCGGATCTGTCCCCTTCATTCACATTCCAGGAAGATTCTCTCATTCCCGACTTCAACTCGAAGGCGTTCCATCCTTTTTCCCTTTAAGATCGTCGTAATGTGTGGGAAAGTAGAGCTTTTTGGACGCGTTGCCTGGGAAGAATGGCTCTTTTCGGCGCCTCACTTCAAGCCTTTGACCTGAGGGCCTGACCGTCAAGGTTGACGTCAAGGATTGACGTAACCCGAGGCCATAGCGAGATGGACCAAGTGGTTAGAGCGCGAATTTACTGACCGGAAGGTCCGTGGTTCGAACCCGACTTCT